ATTACTCAATCACAACTTTTCCTTTTAAATTTGTCTCCAAAAGCTTCAAATCTATTCACAAACAATTCGATATACTCAATACGAATCATAGGAATTAATTCCATATGAATTTATAAATTTTCCGGATAAAAATTCAAAATTCATTAAAATATTCGGTAGTGGGACCCACGTCTCAAATCTCGAAAAAATTTACGAAATCCGAACACCCATTCCGAGACGAGTCCAACCATACAGAAATTATCCAATTCCGATGTCAAATGGACCTTTAAATTTTAAATTTTCGTTTTGGAAGATTTTAGAAAAATCTGATTTTTCTTCCATAAATTCACGGATTCATGATATAAACGAGTTTGGAATTATGAAATATAATCAATATAGGATAAGAAACACTTACCCCAATGTTTTCCCGTGAAAATCGCCTAAAAATCGTCTTACCCAAGCTCAAAAATGGGAAGGAGTTGAAAATGGGTCGAAACCCCATTTCCAGAACTTACGTTCTGTTTCTGGGATTTTTACCCTTCGCGTTCGCGAAGGTACTCTCGCGAACGCGAATCACAACTTTGTGCTGTCCAATTTTTACTCTTCGCGAACGCGAGGGCTGCCTCGCGAACGCGATGCTTGCCTGGCTTAGCCTTCGCGAACACGAGATGCCCTTCGCGAACGCGAAGGCTAATTTTCCTGGCCAGTCTCTTTCCCTTCGCGAAGGCGAAGCTTTGAACCTCAAGCCTTCGCGAACGCGGTCGCTATGTCGCGAACGCGAAGCACAAAACGTGCTAGCCCCAATTTGTTCTTCGCATTCGCGAGAGTACCTTCGCGAACGCGAAGAAGAACACACCAGAAGCCTGAAGTCTGCAGAAAATCAGATTTCCTAAGTCAGAAATGATCCCGTAACCCATCCGAAACTCACCCGAGCCCTCGGGGCTCCAAACCAAACATGCACCCAAGTCCTAAAATATCATACGAACTTGCTCGCGCGATTAAATCGCCAAACTAACACCTAGAACTACGAATCGAACACCAAATCAAAGGAAATTTTCAAGAAAACTTTAAAACCTTTATTTTTACAACCGGACGTCCGAATCACATCAAATCAACTCTGTTTCTCACCAAATTCGACAGACAAGTCATAAATATTATATGGACCTATACCGAACTCCGGAACCAAAATACGGACCCAAGGTCAATAAATCCAACATCAGTAATTTTTTAGAAATCATTAAGCTTTCAAGCTTTTAATTTTTTATCAAAATTCCATATCTCAGATTAGGGACCTCAGAATTCGATTTCGGGCATACGCCCAGGTCCCAAATCACGATACGGACCTACCGAAATTGTCAAAACACTGATCCGGGTCTGTTTGCTCAAAATGTTGACCAAAGTCAACTTAGTTGAGTTTTAAAGCTCTATTTCCCATTTTAATCCATTTTTCACATAAAAACTTTTCGAAAAATTGTACGGACTACGCATGCAAGTCGAGAAATAATAAATGTTGCTTTTCGAGGTCTTAGAACACAAAATTACTTTTTAAATTTAAATATGATATTTTTGGTAAAGTTAGCATCAGTAAATTGGAGAAAAAGAAGAAAAAGAAAGATGAAGCACTAAAGTGTTATGATGATAACCTTGACAGTGATATTGTTGTCAAATTTTCACAAATGATGTTGCTTGATGGTTGTTTTGTAGTTGAGTTTATTCGAGAGCGTTGTGAAGTTGAGCCAAGAGAAGAATCCAACCAAATTATCAACTTGGAATGGATGATAAATCAAGTATGTGGAGACATGGTGTTACTAGAAAACCAACTGCCTTTCTTTGTTCTCACCATGCTACATGACATGACAAAGAATCCTACAGAACAAAGCTTCTTGAATATGCTGAGGAGGACATTACTTATATTTTCCCAAAAGTGACATTTATACCAACATCAGAAATCGACGATTTTAATGCAGAAGACATCGATCATTTACTAGATGCAGTACACATGTTTTGTTGCCCGTCACATGAGAAAACTAGAGAAACCAAGAATGCTAGCAACAAGGAAAACGAATGTTGCAAGTTAAGTTTCTGTGGGAACATTTTACAATTAACCATGGCAAAAGAAATCCCCAATGTCCTTGATTTATGGGATTGCTATCATATTCCAAGTGCAACAGAGCTTTATGACGCTGGAGTTAGCTTCTCAAAAATAGGAACAGTTGATGAAGATTTTAAGGATAAAACAACTTTATTCGATATCAAGTTCACAAAAGGGATAATGAAAGCCCCCTGTTTCACAATCGAGGATACTATGGAGACCTTCATGCGAAATTTAATAGCTTATGAGCAACACTCTGCTGATGCATATCCTTATTTTTCGAATTATGCACATATAATGACTCAACTTATTGGCTCACATAGAGATGTGAATCTCCTTCGCCAAAATAAAATCATCCTTAAAGACCAAGGGGATGACAAAGAAGTGGCCAGCATATTCAAAAAACTTTCAAGTGGGGTGAAAGTCACTGACTTCTATTACATAGAAGAATGCAGCAAATTGATCCAACATTGTGAAAAGCCATGGAGTCAAATGATGGCAAGTTTGAGGCACAATTATTTTCAGAGTCCTTGGGCTGGAGCTTCAACTATGGCAGCCATCATACTTCTCACACTCACAGTTATACAGACAGTTCTAGCTTTCACAGGTGAGGTTAAGTAGTCAACAACAACCCAGTAATCCCACTAGTGTGGTCTGGGGAGGTTAGTGTGTACGCAGACCTTACCCCTACCCTGGGGTAGAGAGACTGTCAGATTAAGTAGTCAATTTTGTAAAATTATATACAAATGTTGACTGAATGTCTCCAGTCTACTGTATCCTCCCTATTCCATGGATGCAATTTGTGTGTTGACCATGAACTTAATATTGTGTCAATGATTGTGAATTAATTGATTGTAGGTATGAGAAGCATGCATAATGAATGTTTTAACTTTTCTGATGGTGTCTTCGTTGAAGAAGCTGATTTTGAATTATCAA